TGGACATTGTAGAGTAGGTTACCATTGGCATCCACAATGAGTTCATTTTTTGTTTTTTTTTTTTTTTTATGTATATTACGATTTTTTTTTTTTTTTTTTTTTTTTTTTTTTTTTTTACCAACGTTATACTTGTGTCCATGTGTGACCACGTGTGGGGTATCATCCTCGTCGCTGTCGAGATTGATTGGATGATGGGATGATGTCGATGTTGTTGTTGAGATTGTTGTTGCTGTTGATGTCTGAATTGATGTGATTGATAGCATGATGTTAGCCTGGTCCCAGATTGGACGTCTAGTGACGGACAATTGTCCATCGGACATAATATATATATACCGTTGTAAAGGGAAGGTTGCATTGGACATCGACATGCTGTGGAAGCATTGGGTTCAATGAGTGACTAATTGGGTCTAACTTGTTGTCATTAGAGAGATTGGTGTAGTGCCAAAGAGCAGGCGGTGCCAACATTGAAAGTAGATGATCATCATGCTCATCTGTAGACAAATGTATAATATGTTAGTTATGCTCATTCAGTCTGGGCTACATGGAAATGATACATACAGTATTGTTCAGGTTGGTGTTGGTAGTACTCTTGCCAAGTCATTGATTGCAGCTGGGTTGGTATAATTGATGGTATGTGCATTGCAGAGATGGAGTATAGCTCTTGTGAAGATGCCTGGCTAAGGTTTGAGTTGTTGTCGTGGTGGACCAGATGATGATACTGCTGGTCTTGGGTTTGCTGATGGCTGGCCCAGCCATATGGTGAATAGCAGTGTTTGAGACCGAGTTCGGATATCCGACTAACCGAGACCGAATAAACCGAACCGGACCCTTTTACCAATCCGAAAGAAGTTCAATTATTCGAACCGACCACCTTTTTTTTTTATCAAAACCGGATCAAATAACCGAGGGTGAGACATGTGTGGGTGAACAACACAAGACTCATTCATTCATTAATTCAGTTGTTTTATAGATAGATAGATATGATAACCAAACAAAAGAAGAAGAAGACGGCCTCCAATGGACAGCTTGGGGATCCAAATGATTATCAACCACAGACAGGCAATGTTAGTAGTGGCATTTGGAAGGCATTCCATATTGCCAAAGAGGGCCAATCAATGATGTGTTTGGCTTGCCTGAGATGTTACGTGTATAATGCAGAGAATGTAAGTGTAACATATATATGTTCATTTCAATATTAATAATTGAAAATCTCACACATCCCTGAAGCAATCAACTTCACCAGGAATAAATCATTTAAAAGCAAACATAGATTGTTTATCAAAGCTTGGTCTCACTAAAGAAGAAGTCCTCGAGAAGAATAAGAGCAAACAACTATCAACAATGGATATGTTCACGACCAAACTCTCAAACAGCAAACAACTCACCCAGCTGAGTCACAAGGAATGGGTACTTCGTTTTCTTGGAATCGGTTATCCGGTCGAATATCGGTTAAAGGAGATATTCGGGTAACCGAGCTCGGTTACAATCTTTGAGCAACTACACGACCGAGTAAGGAATTATCCGAACCGAAGGATATTGATATCTCGTTTATTCGAACCGAGTAGTATAATAAGCTCGGTCTCAAACACTGCATCCCAGACCCAGCTGCAAGAGACCAAATCATTCAACGCATGGAACACCTTATCTCCAAGGAGTGGGACAACAGGAAACTGTTCATCAAGAAACAAGCCTACCTCTACGACGACATCCCTTCCAAGTTCCTATCGGCCAGACTCCATCAACGCAACACATCCTCCTCCATCCCTCGCATACACCACCCAGTTTCTAATCAACTAGTCACCAATCACCCAGAGATACTCGACGCATTCAACTGCTTCTACTCTGACCTCTTTGCTCACAAACCATCATGCCCAGTCACACACTCCAACCTTAAAAAAAAAAACGCAAATTTACGATAAACAGATAATACTTTTATTTGTTMGTCGTTCTCTATTTACAAGGTAAGTCAAACACTTAGTAAGTATCAACAAGCTTCATTCTCTTCACCTCATCAAGAGGAGCCGAACGATGTCARATTCGACCCATCCCGACGARKTTGAAAGAGCCTCACTAGATGAGCTCTTGTCTCAATACGGCTTCCCTCTCCCTCAATCACCTCGCTCCACCTCACCAAAGCCCACCTCTAAYGAGGACAGTTATGTCACTCGCATCTCATTCTCCTTCAACAAAGACACAACTGTTGAAGACGCAAACCAACTGATCGTCAACYTCTTTGCAAGYATGAAGATCGAACGCTACTCCTTCACCAAGGATCAATTCTACTCAAACAACAACAACACCTCATTCCCTCTTGCCAAGAGAGCCACCATCAGATGTGGTCGTCACCTACTGCGCAAGATCATCGCACACGACAACACTTCGTTCACCTACAACAACACCTCCTCCAGCATCAACTGCAGAGTTGAGAATCACTACAAAGTGTACACCACTCTCTATCTCAAGGATGATACTCCACCTTCAACTGCCTCCATCATGGCYAACAAGGCTCTCTCAAGACAACTGGGTGACACCAAGTTCGACRTCACCGTCTCTCACTGCYGYYCTACCAATGCGATCAATGATCGCTCAATCGTCATCTTCACMACCTTCCATCGACACAACYTGATTCAGATCCCAAGCGAAATGATCAATAGAACAAGTCGTCAAGAGTACTATTCGATMTTCATYACTCCTCCCCCAGCTGAGCGCAAGAGACCATCTTCACCTGCRCAATCACTCGACAACAGTCCATCCTCATCTCAATCTYCCCCAGTAGACGAGAACTCAATCWTATCTACCTCTCCTCCCTCCTCTCCCGTGCTCACTGATGAGGAGATGGAACAATCACTTGAGGACACCTTCAACAAGACGACCTCCTCAACAACTACAACCACCACCACCACTACTACATCAACAACAGCTGCACTCTTCACAGCCACTCCCAACAAACGCACTAGAGACGACTTATCATCATTCTCAGCTGCAGACCAAGACGAAATGGCTGACGACTCGGACACCAGTACAACTTCCTCTCCCCTTAAAAAGGACCAAAGATCATGAGCAACTTCTGCTTCTGGCTTTGGAACGTTCGTAGCTCTCAGTCCGAGGACGCTGCCAACAGTACCTTATCTCTCATGGAACTCTACCAACCTCATCTTGCYATCCTCATCGAAACCAACAACCTCACCAAATACAATCCTATCATCACCAAGTACCCATCAACAATATACACACCAAACACTCCCAAAGGTCAAGGAATAGCTATTGTTCCCCTCGACCCAGATCTCACCATCACCAACCCAGCATTCTCACCCGACCAACGCATCATCTCATTTAACATCACTCGACACACAACAACTTACAAAGTAGGTGCTCTCTACGTACCACCTCAAAGACAAGACAGAACACCTTGGCTCAACGAATCGCTATTGCCCTCGCTCCACATCATTGACAACTGCGACATCATCATGGGCGACTTCAACATGACACCAAACTCAAACGAACCATGCAACTCATTCATCAACTCATTCACACGATCAATCAAACTCGACAACCTCTCAGCCAACTTCCCTTACACCAGAAAGCTAGGCGAACTTCAATCAAAYATTGACAGAGTCTACGTCTCTCAAAACATCAAACACTCAATCACACAACACTCAACAATCATTCAACAAAAATCAGATCACCTCATTATCTCTACCTCTATCTCTATACCTTCACCCACATCAAACATCAATGCYMMAAGACATCGACGCTTCATTCTCAACCAAAACACAGTCAACGATCCCAAAACAATCACCAACATATCAAACTCCATCAWCGAACACCTATCCTCTCACCGCCACTCWGATCCTWTATCTCTGTGGTCTTCACTAAAGACAAGAATATCTCACCAATATACCTTCTCTCAATCAGTCAAACTCAAGAAGCTCAACAAAAAGAAACGACAACTATCCAATCGCATCCAACGCCTCGACGCCCAACCCATCCCAGACCCAGCTGCAAGAGACCAAATCATTCAACGCATGGAACACCTTATCTCCAAGGAGTGGGACAACAGGAAACTGTTCATCAAGAAACAAGCCTACCTCTACGACGACATCCCTTCCAAGCTCCTATCGACCAGACTCCATCAACGCAACACATCCTCCTCCATCCCTCGCATACACCACCCAGTTTCTAATCAACTAGTCACCAATCACCCAGAGATACTCGACGCATTCAACTGCTTCTACTCTGACCTCTTTGCTCACAAACCATCATGCCCAGTCACACACTCCAACCTTCTCCAATCWTGGTCACTTCCACCAATCCCAGAAGACATCTATCAATCACAATCACTACCTATCACCATCGAGGAACTCTCTTCAACACTCAGCTCAATGAGCTCCCACAAGTCACCTGGTTGTGACGGCCTCACAATCGCATTCTACAAACAACACTTCAATCTTCTCGCCACTCCACTCCTCAACCTCTTCAACAACTTCCTTTTTTTTTTTTTGATACAAAGGAGCATATACACTCCTGGCTTTACTGTTTATTGTACTGTTAAGAACTTGGCCAAACATCATCATCATCAGTGAGGTAGGACTCATCGTCTTCAAGGATCTTCAACAACTTCCTCTCCACAGGCTACATTCCTCCCAGCTTCAAGAAAGGAATCATCACGACGATCTACAAAAAGAAAGGCGACATCAACCTCATCACCAACCGTCGACCTATCACTCTACTCAACTGCGACTACAAACTTTACTCCAAGATCATCAACTCTAGACTTCTCAACTATGTACCATCAATTATCAACAACAACCAAAATGGCTTCGTCCCAAAACGWTCAATCCTCACCAACATCATCWCCATCAACGAAGCTCTCACCAACCTCCCGAATCTCACYGAAACTGATATCCCAACAGATAGCAGCGCMAGCGTGATCCTCCTCGACCAAGAGAAAGGCTTTGACTCTATCTCTTGGGAAGCCATCGAACGCACTCTTCATCACATTCAACTCCACCCCACACTTATCAACGCCACTCTCTCCCTCCTCCACGACTCATCAGCGTCAGTCCTAGTCAACAACGATGAGACYACCCCATTCCCGATCCARAGAGGCGTAAAGCAAGGAGACCCAATCTCCCCTACCCTCTACGCYCTCGTCATCGAATCCCTCGCCCGCGCCATTCAACACGACCAATCAATCACTGGCGCACCAATCCACAACATCCAAACCACATCCACAAACACTCCGCTTCACCTYCTCCRCTCATTTGTCAAACAACTAATGTACGCTGACGACACAGCTCTAATCTGCAGCAAYACCTCAGACCTCAACAGATCAATCAGCCACGTCAACAACTTCTGCCTCGCAACAGCTGCCAAGCTCAACGCCTCCAAGTGCTCATACTTCTCATTCTTTGACAGCATCCTCCCACCTTCACTCAACTTCCACAAGATCCAACAAGACCAACTTGAAACATACCTCGGCTATCAATTCTCACTCACTGGCATCTCCAACAACCTTCACGCCACTATCGACAAACTCACCTCCTCATTCCTTCTCTGGAAACAGAGAGGATCAACAATCAAAGCAAACACCAACATCGTCAAATCATACCTCCTCTCCAAACTCACCTACCTTCAATATCTCAACTCTATAGACTCAGACGACATCAGAAAGCTCAACAACATGATCAACTGGTTCATCTTCTCGTACCGAGACTTAACCCCCAATTACTACTTCCAACCCAAGATGAAACCACTCAGACGTCTTCTACCAATGAAGTTTGGAGGCCTCGGCCTTCCCGACATTGGACTCAGAGACACCGCCCAGAAAGCATACATCTTCGACCACTTCCTCAACTCTCACAACTCACTCCCATATGGCCCTGCATGGCTTCACAACCTTCAGGAACAGATCTCTTTCAACCAAGCAACCAACCTCCCATGGACAGACCCACAAGCCTACGGCCAACTCTCATCCATCCAACAACTCACCTTCAAGGCCTGGCTCACCGTCAATGCCTCAAAGTCCGTCACTCAAATGCCAACACCAATATTCAACACCAACCCTCTCCAACTCCACTCCAACGACCTCTCCTTCCTCAAGTTCTTCACACTCAACAACCAACCAATCTTCACAACCAACTCCAAAAAGATCACTCTCAAACACTACTACCTCCTCCTCCTCTACAACAACCTCAAGTCATCTCTCCCTCGAGATGTGACAACTTTCCAATACCCTATCACTCCTTCCCAGTTAGGTATACAACTGCAATACAACATCGACTACACCAAACTATTCCCAGCTATCAACATGGTCAAGCACAAACGTGCACACAACACCATATTCAGATATTCAGCCAAGCTCCTACCACTCATCAAACCTCCACCCGCATGCCCAGCCTGCGGCGTCCGTAACATCCTCACATCGTCGCACATCTTCTTTGACTGCCCCGTCCTTGTCAATCGCAACATTGATGGTCTTCAATTCGCCGCCACCACCTTGAGCATCAACATGCCTCAATGGTCTCCATCCATCCTCGCCCAATACGACTGCAGACACTCAATCCTGCGCATCAACCTCGTCGCAATCACCATGCATCAGATATGGCTCGACTTCTGCCACTGGAAACACCAAAGTAACCAAAGGCACTCCTCTCTTCAGACAATCAACATCATCACCCAAGACATCATTCGGACAGAAAGTACCATCCTCCACAGCAAACTCCAACTTCAAGTTGCTAAACTCAGATCACAATCAGCTCCAACTGAACAAATATCGTCCCTCCTCACCAAAGCAACTATCAAACACCTGGACAAATGGAACTCCATAATCGACACTGAATATCTCGCCATGTAAACAACCAACACCAATAAACAAGTAGCCTAGAGTGTATATGCTCTTTGTAATTAAAAAAAAAAAAATATCCTTTTCGGAGGAGGTAATGGAGGTCCTTGATTCCCTCCATCTTGAAGGTCTGCATTTGCACGTGCAGGTTCAGGTCCCTTAGGTCCTGAATCATTCTTAATCCACCGTCCGGTTTGGGTACTGTAAACACTTTGGAGTAGAACACCAGTTGGTCGGTTGGTAAAGGTGGTTCTACCTTCTCCAGGCATTCCTCCTCGAACAAAGAATTGACTTCCTTGTCGATACAGGCTTCCTGGAGGGCGTCGAGTCTGACTAGTGGCATAGTCTCGCGTCGACGAAATGATGGGAGGAGCTCCACCCGCATGCCGCGGATGGTTTGGAGGCAGTGACCTGGAAGTCCCATTTTCTTCCAGGCCCCTGTGAATCTTCGTAGGCGACCACCTACTTTTGGGATTTGCGAAACCCCTTTCCGTTTGGATTGGAGT